AAAGATCCTACACAAGAAAACCGTCAAAGGACAAGTTCAAAATCAACCAACAAGCCCACTTGAATTTCAAGTGAAACCAGCTCTAGATCAGAATCTCCAAAATCCAGATTTAAGAAGCAAGTCATTCAAAACGAGATTTCTCTCGTTACAAATTTGGTTCAACAAAAAACCAAAACAGGCAGGGTTTGAGTCTCCTCCAAATATGGAAAACCTCAACAAAATTCGCAGTGCATTCTCTAGCCCACTGAAGCCCTCAAAAACAGTCACTCCTGCCCCGTGCAGATTGAGAAAACTGCAGTTCTGCCCACTCAAAAGCTTCACAAAAGCATGAGGTGCATCAAAGCTCTGCCAGAATCAGCCTTTGGTATCGATTTACAAGTTGAAGCTTAGCAGTCAAGGTTGTCAACGGTCCAGTCCATCCCAAGCGTCTCCAGTCCAGCCCAGGGGCATTTCCAGTCCAGCCCAGAACAGAACCTTCCATCTCGACAGAAATGGAGTTCCAACTGTATCTTCATCTCTCTAGCATGAGTATTTATTGTTATAGTTTTGTAAAAGGCAGTTCTGCCTAAAAACAGTTTAAATTCCATCAACCATTCTGGCCAGAACAACCTCTTTATACTGAGATAAATTGTTAAAGTCCTCACCAGTCTGAGGCAAGAAAAGAACTTACTTGGGAGATATTCCTCACCCAAATTCACAATCGTTTGTTTGCAGAAATCAGTAACTTGGGGCGCAAGTTATCCATTCCAAACTAAGTCTGCTAGAATTTTAATTACTAGCAGTGGCACGCTCGCACACCAAAGAAAGCTGACTTGTTGACCAGTCTATGGTTCTCAAGGCAGTGGGGAACTTTGCCCTTCCATCATAGGAGTAAACGCAAAACGGGCAAACAATGTTGCATGGGGTTCGAGTCACTCGCATGCCATGCTCTCATATATTTCATGGAGACTGCATTGTGGAGTGGTTAAGACAAGGTCATATTTGCCCTTTGTGCAGGTTCGAGTTGACACAAAATTAATTAATGATAGAACACAATTGTTTTGATCCATAATTCCTAACTGTGAGACTCTTCAGAAATTTTACATTGTAAGACAATTATGATGTTTATATTATATGTCTCTATGTTTGATTGATTTTTGTCGATAAGAATTGTTTTTTCAATTCGAATTTTGCTCCATTGAAAGTAAAAGACCCTTCATTACACGTAAGTTTCTTATTTTAAAACACTTTTCGCAAATATGGTATCAGCTAAAAAGATTAAACAAACAACTATGCATAATTTTCAAATTGAATTTATGGATTATTTGTGCTTGTTATGTACTTGGACAACGCAAACTCAAATTGAATGAAAATTTGGGTTGTACTCCGATTAATGATCTAGGATTTTCTTCGTATATATGATTGTCAAGCGGGGTCAATGGTTGTGACCCTCTTCCTTCCCTTGCTTGGCACCCAATATCGAAA